ATAAACCTGGCGATTATTTTTAAGTAATTTATTAGGAGCTGAGACGATGGTTCAGTAGATAAAATGCCTGCCACACAATCGTAAAGACTCCAGTTTAGATTCTCACCACCTTCCTAAAAGCCAGACTCTGCTACACAAACCTATAATCCCGGCACCTGGTTGTGGAAACAGGAAGATCCCTGGATCTTACCGGCCAGTCAGACCAGACAATTGGCTAGCTGTAGATTTGAGAGAGATCCTGCCTCAAAATGAAAACACAGTAGATGGCAATTGAGGAAAACTTCCAGCATCAATCATACACATGGTCACATGCACGCTCATGTGTACACATCCATGCCAATATGTCCATAAGCCGCATATGAAGAAGGGAGGAGCTATTGGCACTTGACAGCCTCTGGGAGAGGGATAATGGGTGTTCTTTCAGAGTGTGGCCTCTGGTGCATTGACCATGCTCCAGCGGAAGGCCACGCATCAAAGAATGCATTAGACTAAGGGCTGGGTGGGTAGGTAAGTGGGTAGATCTTGGAGGAGTGTGGTTTGGTTGAGCGAGATCAAAATAGACCATCGAAACTTCTCAAAGACCTAATTGAGAACGAGGGGGAAATGAAGAATTAGCTGTCCCACTCACCATTTCCAAAGCTTAATCAGTGGTGTCCTTCCTTTGTCAGTGTCTTCTTCAAATCGCACATGTGGTTAGGCAAACTCGGGCAGTAGCATCAGAGACAATCCCGGAGCCCATTGTTGGTTCCGTTTCCTACTGCACATCTCTGAGGGGGCCTTTGGTTTTTCAATAGCAAAATACAATGCCTATCTGTCGCCATCTTCCCTACCATGATGCTTTGTTTGTTTGTCTGTGGCTTTGGAGGCTGTCCTGGAACTAGCTCTTGTAAACCAGGCTGGTCTCGAACTCAGAGAGATCCACCTGCCTCTGCCTCCCAAGTGCTGGGATTAAAGGCTTGCGCTACCACCCAGCCCCTCTGAAACTGTCTTAAGCAAGCCTCCAATGAACTCTTTCTTCTATAAGCTGCCTTATCACAGCGCAGCAATAGACATTACTACGGCAAGGACAAAGATGGAAAATGAATGTCCAGACAAGAAGACGGAAATTCCAAACATATGGAACAGGTGAAGACCGAATGGCCTGCGTCCCTTCCTCTCTCTCCTCCACCTTGCTGACTTCGCTGCTGAAACTCCGTGAACTCATCTTCATGCTGTCAAAATGAACATGCTTCTACAATTCAATTTTGTCACCTTCTTACTAAAACCCTGTATCAACTACTGGGACTGGTTTCCAGGAACTGCTCAAATGGCATCAATTTGTTACGCCGGGTGAAGTGGTTCCCACCTGTAACACCTGCATTGGTAGCAGCCATAAGTCAAGGTAGCAGGATCTACCACAATGTCAAAAGTGAATCCAGGTTATACGATGAGCTCCAGGCTAGCCTGGGCTACAGGGAAGCCCTATTTAACGCAACCCTGTCACAGCGTAGTCTCAATCACTACCCAGAATAAATTCTCATTATACAAGAAAACTGTTACCTAAGCACTTATATTTTGTTTATGGATGGATGGATAGTTTCTTAACACTTTCATTTTCTTCTCTAGTCATAATGCTCAATCCTAAAAACTACAGAAAATACCTATAATCCTCACATGTCCTGGTCCCTTCTTCGCCACTGCCCACTTCCAAATTTTGCAAAGGGTATGCTACCCAGGAGGAAACTTTGCCCAGCCAATAGAAGTACACAACTTGCTTTGCACTATTTACTAAACAATTGAGGAAAATGTATACATCAGAGTTGCTGGCACATGACAGAAGCTAAACAATAAACAGTGGTTATGTGACACACAATCAACTTGATTATCTGTGGGTTTGACTAAACCAGAAGATTTTAACCTCAACACAGCTGTGTATTGGTTACAAATCAGGATGAGTGAAGAGAGAAAACTGAGTGAGAACTGTGGCTGAGCCTGGTAACATTCCTTTTGAATTCCAGGGTTACATGTGCCACTACTCTTTGTGGTAAATCTGTTTGCCATTTGTCAAGTTCGATTTGAATGTAATATTTCATCTAATTTCTTTTAAATGTTTAAAATAGGAGAAAGGAGGGAGTTTACATTTTCTGATGAATATCCTAAGTGCCAGCACTCATACTAATCATAAATGTGTAATTCGAAATAAAACAAGAGTACCACTTTATACATTTTTTTTCACTAATACCTAGGTAGGTACAAGGGGAAAATATCTGCTGTTAGTTGAGCTATGAACTGACACTTGTATATACATTATATAAATTTCCACAGGACCTGGGTAATAAGTGCCTAAAGATTTCAAAAGGTGTGTTATAGTTAAAAGTACATGTTACTACGACTAATCAGACAAATATGTAAATGTGTATATGGAAATGAGAAAAAGAAGTGATTTTAAATGAATATCCCTCAACGTACTTGTAATTGGTAAAGGTTGAAAGTGAATTTCTAACAGGTAATTAGCTAAATATTGTATATCACACCCAGAAAAATATATCCAGCTATGTTTAATAGCATGAAAAAACCCATAACTTATTAAGTTAAAATAAGTCACAAATATGACACATTTGTAAGGAGGAGAAGAGAAAATTACACATCAAAACATGCTCTCAGGGACAGAAGTCAAAATGCTATCTTTTGGGATCTTTGGGAGATAGATGTTTTAATTTTTGTTTTTCAGTAGCATTGTATTAAAATTCATTTGGAAGCTTTCCAAATACAAAATATGGAACAACATAAACCCAGATATCTTGTATAAATAAACTCACTAACCAATGAGAAAGAGAAAATATGTAGCATAATGTCAAACACGAGAGAAGCTCATATTAGCTCTTAGCATGCTCGGGGCATATTTCAGTAAGCTCAAGTGATCTCCATGATCATGCATGAATTTCACAAAATTCACACTGTACATCCCAAGATGCCCACTTCAGCCAACATAGAGAGCAACTGTCCATGTGGAAGTTGCACTTGCATCATTACAACACAGCCTCATGAAAAGGCAAATGTCACAGGATTTTCTGTTTTCTTTTTTTAATTTAAATTAGAAACAAGCTCCTTTTACATGTCAATCCCAGTTCCCTCTCCTGCCCCCTACCTACCCCCTATCCCAACAGCTTTCTGCTCCCCAGGGAGGGTGAGGTATTCCAGGGGAGGATCTTCAAAGTCTGTCATATCCTTTGGAGCAGGGCCTAGGCCCTCCTGTGTGTATCTAAACTGACAGAGCATCCCTCTATGTGGAATGGGCTCCCAAAGTCCATTTGTGCACAAGGGATAAACACTGAATCACTACCAGAGGCCCCATAGATTGCCCAGGCCTCCTCACTGACACCCACGCTCAGGGGGTCTGGATCAGTCCTATGCTGGTTTCCCAGCAATCAGTCTGGGATCCATGAGCTCCCCCTTGTTCAGGTCTGCCTTACAGGATTTTTTAATCTCCTGCCATTTACAATTTATGGTCATTAATGTCATTTATGGTCAAGCAACAATCTCAGTGAGAAAGTGACTATCATCTCAAATTCTGTCTCTAACCAGTTTTGTAATTTCCATCATTCTCATCCTCTCGATGCTACACAAAAAAGAGCACAACACAGGCAAAGACTGAAAACAAGACAACAGCACGAAAGAATCTTAATGATCTGATGTCACGCACAGTTAACATTTTTCTACTTTCCCTTTGTTTCTCGGAGTTTTGCTAATAAGTGCTTCCCGCTTGTACCATACAAATAATGATTTCCTTGAGGACAGTTGTCTCCAGCATCGATTGCATTCACTGACAATAAGTAAAACCATAGCAAGTCCATTCTCACATGTAAATTCTCTTTCCAAAGCCTGACTTATAATCATTACTCTCCACTGCCTAGAAAAGGGGTCACTATGCTCAATTGCGCATGTCAACTCTTGTCTGGAGTTGAGGGAAACTGGAAACACAGCAGGAACTCCTACAGAGATAAATGTTTACAGCAGTTTATCAGCACGCACCCTAAATGATGGTGTACGCCCTCAAATCATTACTAATTAGCATCACTTTTCACACACTAATATCCCAGGTTGGGTAGGCCACTGTCTAGGAGGATTGCTGCCCACACACAATTCATACCATGATAGTTCTAAAGCTTAGGATAAATGCTTCAAGCTATCCTCCACTTGCACACTGACCACCTCGCACACTGAAAAGTGTGCACAAACATAAAAAAGACACAGGAGAGCCAGATACTCAAAGCCCGCCAGAGTTAGTCTGTCACCACGTGGACCCATGGTACAATGGATCATCCAATCATACACCTTAAAGACTTATGATATATTTGGAAACTTGGTCAAACTATTGATAACTGTTATGAGTTACGTCCCTCTAACAGTCCAAACAATTTCATGAAACAATGGTATATACAATCGTCATCTAAGCCTAAATGTCTTCTATCTTGGCAACTGGCACAAACTATTCATCCAGTTACTTGACTAGAATTCTTTTAAAAAATAAATTACTAAACACTAAATTTCATCTTTGTCAGTAATGTTGCCATATATACATACATACATACATATATATGCATATATATAGTTGCATATCAAACAAAATCAAGAATCACAAATCTAAAATAAAAGAAAAAATAACTACAAAAAATAAGGTTAAATCAAAGATTATTTCTCAGGCATATTAAAAATTTCTGTGATTTTTTTGCAGGGGTAGTTGTTTTGTTTGCAAGCAGTAATTTCTCCTTACAAAGTTTTAGACAGCAAGCATTTTTTTACAGAAACATAATGCAAACTGGTTAATCTAAATAACTGAAATAATATGTGTGACTGCTTGATACTCACCTACATAAAATACAACGTACCCCACTCCACTCATTACTGGAAGCTTTGGTTTATATCTATAGACTGCTACAAATATATTTTCCCTTAAAGTCTTATCACAGTCCTCAAATTGCATTTCCAGTAAAATAGGATGGACAAAGTCACACACTCACTTGCACATCTGTTCATATCTGGGGCTCGATGTCCGTAGTACCCCGATGGGCAGGAATGCAGACACTCCCAATACTGCAGCATTCCTTCTCTCCGCAGGAAGAAGAAGAGCTTCTGTTGACATCGGCTGCACCCGTTGTCCTTTGAACAAGACAAACAACCCTTGCAAATGGGATTTGATACATAACTAGCTGTAACAGAGAAAAGAAACAAAAATATTTAAATGTGAACATGGTTAGACTTTTGGTCTATACACCATCTCGAGAGAAAGAAGTCTTGAGTTATAGACACAAGAGGTAAAGCTGCCACTGTCAGCTTTCTAGACCAATATAACTTCCAACTGTTTTCTAAATACTCATATTTATCCCTAGAGATACATATAGCTCTCACCCCTTATATCAAAGAAACAGTTGAAGAGTATGAGAGAGATCTACAACTTAACCAAAATGTGGAGACAAAGTGACTGCAGAGGAAGAAACTCAAACCGATGCAGCTGCAACCCCTACACTTAAGGCTCAGAGGAAATCATAAAACAGAAGAAAGATATTCTACAAGCCAGAGGCCAAGGATGCCTGTGGATAGATCATGTCTCCTAGATATGACAGAGAAAATCTGGCAATGAACTCTCAACAATATGGTTGCTGAAATAAAACCAGCACCATGGCATCAGTTGACATACCAGAGCACAAGGGAAAA